TAATACAAATAGCAGGATAATTTCAACTGTTTTATTAATTCTAATACAAACATTAGGGTACTTTTAACTGCTTTATAGTAATATTACAATATATTTATGATCACAATCACTGTTGCAGTGTAAAAGTTACACCAGGTCAATATGGTTACTTGACTTCTCGCCTGCTCTTGAGGTATTTCACACCGTATGTTTATTTCTGTTGGTTCAGTGTCCACTGTATTTTGTCCCCCAGTGGCACAGTGGTATGTCTGTGGGCTTACAACGCTAGAAACCGGGTTACGCTACCCATGGTGGGCAGAGCACACATAGCCCTTGTGTAGCTTTATGCATAATTAAAAACAAACATACCACTGTTATTTTGTCCCCCAATGGCACAGTGGTATGTCTGTGGGCTTACAACGCTAGAAATCGGGTTACGCTACCGTGGTGGGCAGAGCACAGCTAGCCCTTGTGTAGCTTTATGCATAATTAAAAACAAACAAACCACTGTTATTTTGTCCCCCAGTGGCACAGTGGTATGTCTGTGGACTTACAACGCTAGAAACCGGGTTACGCTACCCGTGGTGGGCAGAGCACAGCTAGCCCTTGTGTAGCTTTATGCATAATTAAAAACAAACAAACCACTGTTATTTTGTAAACTTTATTTATAAAAGACAGTTCTGTAATACTCTTTTTATTTATTTCTTATTTTATCTTGGTAATGGACAAATTTAAGACGTGAAAAATAAAAAACTTCAACAGACAAATGTGTTTGTTTTTCCTGGATATTAGGCTTAAGAATTTGTTGTTGTTTTTTAAATACAAATTGTAATTGATGTAAAACACTTGGAACAAATTTTAATGTTTGTATTTGTCTTTGTAGAGTAATATTTTATTCAAGAAAGTACCAAAATGAGTACATTATGGATTATTCAGTTATGGAGGCCTCTAAGTGTCCAATTGGTCCACTTTGTCACCTAAGACAGTTGATGACTTTTAGGAAATAAAGGAATTAAGCCTAAGAATCAGTAAAATCTGTGTAGGGGCTTTCAGTTTTTTGCACATAGAAGAAACTTCAGGAAGATTATTTCAAACTTAGTTTTTAGGAGCTCTTTTCCGCCATTTATTTTTTTTAATTATAGGTCATTGAACGACGTTACTATAGTCAGAATTCTTCCCAAATGACAACACTTCTGGACAGACGAAGAGTGGGTCCTTTATCTCCAAAGCTTAGCCATGTAGACTGATCGAACAGGATGAAGACTGGGTAGTTAAATGTTCAAGTCTTTTGAGGGACAAATCAGTCTTGTATCTTGGGGATCTTATATAGATCCCTTACTACCTATCAAAGAAGTTGTGATATGCAACATGATTATTTAGAAATCAATTTAAGGGTTTTATACAACCCTCACTTCTTGGGTTGTCACACCAAGATTAGAATATTAACCTGTGAGACAAAATGTGTTTAATAGTGATGCTTATGTCTGAATGCCTTATTAGAAAGGAACTCAGTTTCCCTGTCATAAATTTAAAAGTAATATTATATATATATAGAATAAGTTTATTTTATGACCAGAATTAGAAAATTTCCGTCATTAATGAAAGGTAAACCTAAGAACAAATTTTTTATTTCAATGAGCGGGAACATTTCAACTTTCTAAAATAGAATTCTTTAAGTTACTTTCCAACTTGGTTTAGTTGCAGGCAGTGTTTTATTGCTTAAATTTTGCCAATGAATGATATTGTTTTGTTTTAACACCAACACCAAATAATTTTAAATTTGTTTTTTGTATTTCTTAGTGTGTTTACACGTATCATTTGGCACGTTGCTTGAAATCAAAACACGAATTTTGTCTTTATTGTAAGTTAAAAAGCGTACGAAAATTATTTTGGTGAAACTTGTTTTGTTATATATAGGAGAAGTTGTGCGAAAAGTCAAATCTTTAAAATCCTAGCGTCCTGAAACAGAAACATGCAAAAAAAAATTAAAACTCGATAAAATTATCTCTGACAAGGAAAGTTCTCCGCTTGTCGGAGATTGTGAATGAATTGGCAGTAGCCAATCAAAAGACGGCTCAGATTTCAAACATGTTTATGCCAGTCATTTACTAAAACGATCCACTAGAGGGCAGCATTAGCGTTTGTTTATTACACTCGCATAAGATCATTGTGTTACTTTTTGTTTCACATCAAAACCGCACGTTTTAAAAATACTGAAACCGACTTAATTATAATGTTTTCTTCGTTTGTTAAATTTTCTGTTAGATGGCAGCACCTACAAGAACACCGTATCCATAAACTTACTGGTTTAATTGCTATGACAACGCCATTTTGATCTCATCCCTAGTTTAATACTAAAAACCTTCCGCTTTGGTAATAATAAAGTTGTATTTCCACGGTGTATCGTTTCTACTTTTTGTTTTTTAATCCATACATTATAATACGGCACTGGTTTTTTTATTTCCATTCTTTTTTTTTTAATTAAAAAAAATAAATGATTTTATATTTCGTTCTTGACCGAGGATAGCATTCACTCAAAACTTGCCAAATCCCGAGGCGATGATTGGCGCAAAAGACAAGTCGAGTATTTAAATATCCACTCTTTTAACAGAAGGGGATGAAATGGTATACCAGTGAAATAAAAATAAACGTAAAAAACGAAAGGCCGAATGTTGTTCGGTCTGGAAGTATTTTTAATGTTATAAAACTATTTCGCAACTATAGTAACAATGTAAAGTGTTATAAATTATAAAAATTATGACATTCTTTTTAAATAAATATGCTTTCGAACAAATGTCACTGTGGAGATTAGGCTTCGAGTGTTAAGCTTATTTATATAAATAAATGTAACCTGCATTATTCAGTGAACATTTTAGTCATATAACGCCCTCTGGTGTAATGAAAGATTCACTCTCCGTTCGGCATTTTGTTAAGCTGTGTGTAAATGTCATCTACATTATTCAGTGAACATTTTAGTCGTATAACGCCCTCTGGTGGCGTGAAAGATTCACTATAGTTTAGGCATGAATACGTCACAGATACGTGGGTGTGTGGTACAGCTTCTTGAAGACCACCCAAATGAATCCAGGACCCCTTAATTAGTCGGTAGGGTAACTGGATATAACTGTTTTTAAATAACGAAAAACGTTATTTTTAGCTACTTGAAAATTTTGTAAAGTTTAAAGCAAATTTTCCAGTTTAATTGTTTCGAGCATTATTGGGAATAAACAATCGTTTGCGTAATTAATGTTTATAAAGTTATCGTAAGGTGTGCTTAACTCTACTTGATGGTGGTAACTTGTGTGAATAATTTAACATTAAGTAAAAATATGATTATAGAAACTTTAAAATAACTTTGAGATCTTGGAATTTTCAGGCAGTGATTTTAAATTATAATATAAAGTGTTTTGTTAATTATATGACTGGAATTACGATATTTTGGGGTATTTGAACTGATAAATTTTCACGTCACAGATTTAATCATGGAATTTCTGTCAATCACCTGAAGATGCCAGGTCAATCCGGTGATACGTAGTGTATTTATATTCTTCTTATTTTCAATAAACTCGAAGTTCATGCCATCTGTAATATAAGTTGTTTAATATTTTCTGGAGTTAATTCGCTGTATTTCCTTTGTATGACGAAAGGCTATTCTGGGTAGAAAGTTGGCGGGAATCGAAGTTTCCAGATAAATTATCTCCTAATGATTAAAACGCTTCTTTATCGAACGTTCAGGAACGTGTGTAGAAGTCTGGTGGGTCGTGTAAATGCTAGTAATATTGTATTCGGTATCAGCCGAAGCGCGGAGAAAAACCACGAGGCTTCTTCTTCTGTAATTCACTGCTTCCCGCAGTTAAGCCTAACGGTTTTCAAGCAGTTAGGCTTCAGGTTTATCATTCGATCTTCACAAGGGAATCACGAGAAAGAATAGGTCAACAATAGAAGACCAGTTGTTTATGGTTGGCTGACATTATTTTAACATATTCACAGAGGTTAAAGACCTTCGAGGGGGGTCGTAACCCTTCCACATCACTAAAGTATAGATAACGAGAAATACAGTCAAAACAGAATACTTCCTGCTCCTGGACGAAATTCACCGAATTTTAGACGTTTCACAAATTTTAACTGAGTGATCGTTTGTCACCGTAATCGTAGAAAGGTAATGGAAGTACCTTAAGTATATTATTGAAATTGGCCAAATTAGGAGAAATCACTGTTTGTTATTCGAATGTTCCGTTATATTCACCACCGATTCAAAGTGTTCTAGTAACCATGACTACGATACACACTTACGTGGTGAAAGGAAACCGGAAGTAGGATTCCGTTTATTCGGAAATAACAAAATATTTCAAACTTGTAAAGGAACTGTTCGTAACAGACGAAGGACGGACGAATCGACTCATCGTTAGTGTTTGTTTGTTTGTTATGAGTTTCCCGCAAAGGTGAAAGGAAACCGGAAGTAGGATTCCGTTTATTCGGAAATAACAAAATATTTCAAACTCGTAAAGGAACTGTTCCTGTTCTTTCTAACTCTGTGGTTCAGTAAGGTTTTCCTGCTCCAAAGAAAACAGATTGTAGTCACCGTATGAGTTTTTAGTCATGTCCGTTGCCGTGTACAGTATCTTTACTCTGTCTCAGTCCTGAACTAGTTTTTCTAAACAATTTTCTCTCTCAAATTGCTTGTTAGTCCATCACTTCGTTGGTTTTAAAAACTAAGCCTTTCTACACAGAAACGTATATAAAATACCACCAGTAATAAACTTAATCTTACAACCTGTTGCTGTGGTTTCCTCTGTAGTTTATCCAGACAATGGTGATTTTTTATCCAATATTTTTGGTCAGTTCTTTACGCAAAGTGGTGTGAGAGAAAAACAATTAATTATTTATTCAGTATGTTGGTAAATGTTGATCGCCACCGGAATGAAACATGCTGATCGCCACCGGAATGAAACATCCTGATAATTGTGGATCGCCACCGGAATGAAACATGCTGATAAATGTGGATCGCCACCGTAATGAAACATGCTGATAATTGTGGATCGCCACCGGAATGAAACATGCTGGTAAATGTGGATCGCCACCGGAATGAAACATGCTGGTAAATGTAGATCGCCACCGGAATGAAACATGCTGGTAAATGTTGATCGCCACCGGAATGAAACATGCTGGTAAATGTTGATCGCCACCGGAATGAAACATGCTGGTAAATGTAGATCGCCACCGGAATGAAACATGCTGGTAAATGTGGATCGCCACCGGAATGAAACATGCTGGTAAATGTAGATCGCCACCGGAATGAAACATGCTGGTAAATGTTGATCGCCACCGGAATGAAACATGCTGGTAAATGTAGATCGCCACTGGAATGAAACATGCTGGTAAATGTGGATCGCCACCAGAATGAAACGGTATGAAAACAAGTAGGTAATTTGGGGACTAAAGATTGGTATTGACTTTTGCTAACTGTGAGTTTGGAAAATAGCTGCTTCGATCTGCTGTTTTTGTGTTTTTGTTTATTGCAGGCTCTCTCCATTTTGAGAAGAAAGCTGAGATGGTCTCGTCAAATGAAATTTCGTCGCGCGGAACGCGTCTTTATCAAATATATATAGCCGTAATTCAAGGCAGAGAAGAAAAAAAAGCATCTCCATATGGCAGGTGATGGTTATTCTTTCAGTTTCGGGAATGTTCGTAAATTGTTATGACGTTTTTTTCTGTGTCTGTCTACAGTTCAGACAAATCCCGCTTAGAAGGGATGAACATTGCTTCAGATACCCTCGGCGTAAGTTTCGTTCATCTCAAGAGTGGATTATTGAGGTGGAATATGAACGTCGTTAGTAGGCACTGACGTCAGCCGAATGTTCTGTCACCCAAAACGTCTTGGCGGCGCCAAGTCTCAAAGTAAACTTTGATGCATATTTAAGGATTACACTGGAAACCAAATTAAATTAATAAGCTGTTCGGTGGACGTAATAAAGACCCAGTTTTTTTTCTTTTTTTCAAAAAAAATTATAAAAAAAAAGAAGCTAAAAATGCAAGAAGTGATCAAATTAGATCATTCACTTTTGAAGTTGGAAATCATTTCCAGCGTAACAATGAACTGCGCTTTTAAAACGTTAAACATATTGGTCAGGCCTGAACTTAACGAGATCGTAAAGGTTAATATCCACGAAAACAGGAGTTCCGAACTTCCAAATTACTGGTTTTTGATTACTTATGTGGATCTTTTAATTAATTCTGTCTTTGATTATCCAACCGTTCCTTAGTCAGTTGTCATTTTCAATTTAAGTTATGCAGTAAAGATGCACGCACGGGGGTTTAGACTCTGGTCTTAAGATTCTTCGCTGAGAAAACTAGCATTTAAAGATTCTGTATTGGCGGGAGATTTTAAGAAGGCCAACCAATCAACAAATTTATTTACACTCTAGTAACACAATGCAACATCATTTACAACGAAACGCTGTTAGGTGCTTTGCCATTAAATGGAAAAAAAAAAAAGATCAAATATCTCTAATTTTTTGAACGCTTGAAAAGACCCGTGGCTGTTACCCGTAAGAAAAGGTCAAATTATTTTTTCAGTGGCTCTTGTTCTAATTCTTTTCTAAATTTTGTAGGAAATGCAAGTTAAAGTATTATAAGACTACAACAGACATATGTTACCTCTAATACAATATATATATATATATACTACCATTTGGAGGTGATAGCTCTAAATAGACATGAATTACCATCTGGAGAAGATAGCTGTAGTAAAATACGAACTACCATCAGGAGATGATAGCTGTAGTAATATACGAACTACCATTAGGAGATGGCAGCTGTGGTAATATACGAACTACCATCAGGAGGTGATAGCTGTAGTAATCTACGAACTACCATCAGGAGATGATAGCTGTAGTAAAATACGAACTACCTTCAGGGTGTGATAGCTGTAGTAATATACGAACTACCATTAGGAGATGATAGCTGTAGTAATATATGAACTACCACCAGGAGATGATAGCTGTAGTAATATACGAACCACCATCAGGAGATGATAGCTGTAGTAATATACGAACTACCACCAGGGTGTGATAGCTGTAGTAATATATGAACTACCATCAGGAGATGATAGCTGTAGTAATATATGAACTACCACCAGGAGATGATAGCTGTAGTAATATACGAACTACCACCAGGAGATGATAGCTGTAGTAATATACGAACTACCACCAGTAGATGATAGCTGTAGTAATATACGAACTACCATCAGGAGATGATAGCTCTAAATAGACATGAATTACCACCAGGAGGTGATAGCTGTAGTAATATACGAACTACCTTCAGGAGATGATAGCTGTAGTAATATACGAACTACCACCAGGGTGTGATAGCTGTAGTAATATACGAACTACCTTCAGGGTG